GCTAGTGCATTAGGTTTGAATGATAGTCATGTTTCCTAGTCTTCCTTGTAAAGCACATGAATATTTTCAAATTATCAAAATTTGAAAGAGTTGTCAGTGATAATAAAATTATCACTGACAGCGTTAGACTTCAAAGATAGTCAGAAAACCCAACTGTGGAGGAAGAACGTTCTTTAAGGCCCTCAGTTAAAGCTAAATTTGCTTCCTTCTTCTTCAAGTTGGTTTACTTGCATAGATTATTCTTTACAAAATCAGAGGTTAATTCCTTTACTTCACTGAGGAGGAATGAATGGTTTAGCTTCCCTAAAGTACTTCCAAATTTCTCTTTTTTCATTCCTTCAGTCAAATATTTATTAAGCACCTACTCTGGTGGCGTAGTGCCTAAGGCATTAGACTGCTAGCCAGAAGGCTGGTAGTTCAAACCCACCAGCCACTCCTTGGAAGAAAGGTTGGGCAGTCTCCTTCCATAGTGATACCACCTCAGAAACCCAAGGAAGGTCACTGTGAGTCAGATCCAACTGTACAGCAGTGAGTTTGTTTTTTAGTGCAAAGAGTAGAGGAGAGAACATTCTAGATAGTGAAACCATCATGTGCTGAGAGCTTGGTGAGTTTTAGGGACTGAAAGGAGACCACAGTTGCTGGAGAGTGGACCAGGATCAGGGTGGGAAAGTAAGCAGGGAGACTGAAGGTAAGGATTCTAGATGTTATTGTTCCTACAGTGGGAAATCAGACGTTGTATTGCACTGGGCAGATCTGCTGCAAAAGACCTCTTTAAAGTGTTAAAGAGCAAAGATGTCACTTAGGTGCACCTAACCCAAGCCATGATATTTTCAGTCGCCTCATATCCTTGTGAAGGGTGGATAATGAATAAGGAAGATGAAGAAGAGTTGATGCCTTTGAGTTGTGGTGTTGGTGAAGAACACTGAAAATACCATGGAGCGCCAGAAGAACAAACAAATCTGTCCTGGGAGAAGTGCAGCCAGAATGCTCCTTGGAAGCAAGAATGGCCAGACTTCGTCTCACCTACTTTGGTCATGTTGCCAGAAGGAACCATTCCCTGGAGAAGGATATCATGCTTGGTAAAGTGGCGGGTCAATGAAAAAGGGGAAGGCCCTCAACGAGATGGATTGACACAGTGGCTGCAGTGATGGGCTTAAGTTTAAGAAGGATTGTGAGCATGGCGCATGACCAGGCAGTGTTTTGTTCTGTTGATCACGGGGTCGCTATGAGTTAGAGTTGATTCAGTGGCACCAAACGCCACCACCACGGTGCAAAGCCTTTAAGGGGCTTTAAGCAGGGGACTAACGTGATCTGATTTATCATTTATGAAGGTGACTATGGCTTTTATGAATTGGTCAAAGGGTTTAAGGGGTGGTCAGGCAGGAGGCCCTTTCAGGAATGCAGGGAGGTGAGAGGTGATGGTGTCTAGATTAGGGCAGTAGCAGTAGAGAGGAGAGAGGAGCTGCAGACAGAGGCAAGATCTGTTTGGGGGAAAAAAATCATAATGAGGATGGTGCAGAACTAGGCAGTGTTT